CTGCATTTTGCAACCTTTGTGTTGGAAAGTGAGCATCTCAGGATGATCTGGTAAAGGGACTTGGATATTGAGTGTGAACAAGAGGTTTTGGAAAATACTGTCTATAATATGTGTGTCTATAAAGAGTTCATTAATACATTATTAAGATACGTCATAGAGACTATTGGACTCCAGTCAGACTTAAAAAGTTTGGTCTAATTGATTTATTGGTACTTTTTTCATGCCTCTTGTGGGATTGCCCACTGGTTCACCATTTTGATCCCAGATTTGATACTTAGATCAATCTTTGCCAAAGACCCTACATCTTTACCTTCTTGGAGACAAATACATTCTTCCAACTGGACTTACAAAAGAACAATTTGACTCATCTTGTACAGGCTTTCTTAATGCAGTCAGGCTTATCCTGAAAACTGGAAAAATACAACCCAGCTTTACTATAAGGACTGGATTAAACTCCAGACTGTTACAGCACCATATGAGCTGATGTTCACTGAAATAAAATGCTCTTTGTCAAAATATGCTGAGATGTAGGTAAACTTACTTAGAATTGTTCAATTGTCTGTACCAATAGCAATAAGTTATAGAAAGCCTTGATATATCTAAGGGGAAGTGTTGTGGAAAGGTGGAGGTGCTGTGATATGCTGGGCTGCTGTTTTTGTGTCACATTTTTGTCCATCTTTGGTTTTTAGTGGTGTGTTTTTGTTACTTGAAGACTGCCGAAAAGTGTACTGTATCAAAGTGTTGAAGAAAAAAGTAAACATTGAAATAACATCTTGTTCAAACAATTTTGAGCACAATAAAACAGTCCACCAGAGCATATTCAGTTGTGTAATGATTATTTAGTGCCATGGCCATTGTCTTCCCTATGTCACATTAATCTGTCCTAGTTTTAACCTTTTGGTAAAATTCCACGAGCTAAAACAGAGATGACCTGAGAGCTGTGAAATACATCTTGACACTAAGAACTCCAGCTGCTACTGTAGCTATCCTTTAACTACACTCTCTTAGCACATTACATTTTGTCACTGACAGAAATGGTGGTCAAATACAGAAACGGATCATATCACATGACCTATAATCATTGTTATGATCTATTTCAGTGCTTGACCCTCACCGGTCTACCACCTGGCCTAATGTTTGCTACTTGTCTCTGACTTGTACAAGTGGAATGAAGAACCTTGGTAAAATTTAGATCGATCTAGAAGATGGTTTGCTCAATGAATTAGAACCAGGGACGGTTAAGCTATAACATTGAATTGTAGTTTCTCAGAGGTAGTAACTACTTTTGCCTAAACAAAGGCAAGAGTGAAAATCACGTCCAGGCAGACACTGTCCATGCACAAACTGCATTGAGCAGGTAAACCTGTTTTGGGGGTTTTGTGTCTGAATATCATTAGCGCTATATGCTTTGTGAATTCCACCTTGAGACAGAGCAGATTGAAGGAGCAAATTACACACTTTTTACAGCTGTAACTGGCCACAGTTCATTCTTAGTGAATGTATGTGTTTTCCATTTGATTTTAAACCAAAACACCACAGCCTTGTAGTTGTGATTATAATGAGTGAAACTATGCATACTTTTAGATTATATAGTCAAATTGATTTGTATTTGGTCCACACCGTTGATACCTTCTTAGTTGAGCTGGAATATCATGTTTAAAACTGTCATCATCATCATCAAATCAAAGCAAAAATATTAAATTCAAACATGAGTTATTATATCCAGATCTCAGGTACACTGACGACAGAAGAGAAATAATAGGCATTCATTTGCGCTTTCAAACTCATATCCTTCTCAGATATAAGTGGTTTTAAGACTTAAAAATGGGGTTTCTGCATAGAAACTGTATCACAAATCCAATGAAAATAAGTTTAAATACCACATTTCAGTTGTGTGTGGCCTGGGCTTTGACATCATTAAATAAAGAATTGAGTTTGAGAGTACAGGTGTAAAAAATGATGATATAGTGAGAATAATGTTGACTGGTCAACTTGTTTAGTAGGCCACAGGAATTTAACACAGGTGGAGCATGAGACTCTTAAGCTCAGGATCATGGGTTCAAGCCCCACATTGGGTGCAAGATTTACCCTTTAGAGTATAACCGTGGAAAAGGCCTTCCATATGCCAGCTGTTTCACACATCTTATACATGTCCATACATTATTTACTCATGATGTATAATAGTATGGATAACAAAAATTGACGTAATTTTCATGAAAATGTAAGCCAGTTAGCTCAGTTCATGGGTTCCAGCCCCACATTGGGCGTGAGTTTTACCCTTTAGAGTTTAGCCGTGGAAAAGGCCTTCAATATGCCAGCTGTTTCACACATCTTATATATGTCCATACATCATTTATTCAAGATGAATTATGGTATGGATAACAAAAATTAATGTTATTTTCTTGAAAATGTAGCCCAGTTAACTCAGTTGGTAGACCATGAGACTCTTAATATCAGGGTTGTGGGTTTGAGCCCCACATTGGGCACAACCTTTATCCTTCGGAGCATAGATGTGGAACTTGGAACAGACCTTTCACGTGAGCTGTTTCACACATCTTATACATGTCCATACATCATTTACTCAAGATGTATTATGGTATAGATAACAAAAATTGAAGTAATATTCTTGAAATATAGCCAGCTGTTTCACAAATGTTATACATGTCCATACTTCATTAACTCAAGATATATGATAGGATGGATGAAAAAAATTGACCTCATTTAGTCGTAAGAGCATGATACTCTTAATCTCAGGGTCGTGGGTTCGAGCCCCACATTGGGTGCTATCTTCATCGTTCAGAACATAGATGTGGAACGTGGGACAGGCCTTTCACGTGAGCTGTTTCACACATCTTATACATGTCCATACATCATTTACTCATGATGTATAATAGTATGCATAACAAAAATTGACATAATTTTCTTCAAAATATAGCCCAGGTAGCGGTGAGCGACGGCAGTACGACTGTATCTCCGCTTTTAATCTCTCTGTCTCGTTCTCATCTATCCTCATCATTGTAAGCCAATCGCGTCGCCCCGTTCTCATCTTTCCTCAAAAATGTTAGCCAATCGCGTGACTGGCATTGCATCTTTAGACTCCGAGCCAATCGCAGCCCTGCAAGCTTGCGCTGCGTGCGAGCCAATCGGAAATGAGCGCTCGCCTCGATATCCCGCCCATACATTTTTGCCGGTAGCGGAGAATCCACTGAACGGGACTCGACTTCATCTCTCAAGGTAAACTGTCATCAATTAAATTATTGTCACTCATAATATATTATTTTCCCGTAGTTAGATTGTTCAACTTTGTTATCCAATTTAACGTTAACTTGACGGTGTTGAATAACTTGACGGTAAGAAGCCGGCCAGTCACCTTGGTTAACACAGAGGATAGCTTCATTCACTAAAATGATTGTTGCTGCTAGAGTTAGAGACGTGTAAGTTATGTTTTTATCTTATTTTGCCGTGTTAACATCGTCATCATCCATAGGGTTTCAGGCTCCTGCATCGGGCCACTTCATCTAAAACAGAATATCTCATTCTAATTCTATATAGCTAACTTAGTTATGAATAAATAGAATCGCCCTATTTAACAAGCTTAATGCGAAAAGCAGATGTATTAGTAAAACATAATGCAGAGTTTAGTTGTGCTAGGCTGTTTATCAATAGATTTCATAATAGCCACGACTGAATAACGGAAAAACTGAGCGGGAAACTGACCCCCCCCCCCCACGTTGAATTTATTCAGTTCTGTATTTTACTTTTGCCATACTTTACCCAGTTTTTGTTCTAGTTATGCTGATCTAACAATGGTATTATCCCACAGAGATTTATATATCTTATATTACATCAGCTTATGGTTGCAGCATTAGCCTATGTGTACATATGAAGGGAGTTGATGGGATATTAATTTTGACCTCTTTTGGCCACAGATGGCAACGAAACAAAAAAAGCACAAGGCTATGGGTGATGAGGAGTGGATGTCACGCCTGCGGAGATTCGCTGCTTCAGGGGTTTGGCCCTCTGATGCAGGAAACAGGCCTGCTCCCCGCCAGAAGAAGTGGAATGACCTCTATCTGAAGGTATAGTTGTATTAAGCAATTACAATACAGTCACACATGATAAAGCTAATAGAAACACTTGCTTATTTTTTGTCATGAAATATTACAGATTGACAAATGCCCGATGCAACGGAGGGGACAGGCATCTCTGTTTGGGGGGCCACAGACATGTGGCTGTGGTTTCCACACTAAGAAGGTATTTTTAAACTAACATCAAATTGTTGTGTGCACATTTTTTGTTGTTGTGTCGTTTGCTTGAAATGACTTCAAAAGTCTCTGTACATCTTTAGCCTTCCAGCTCAGTCCCTGACACCCCATTTCCCCGTACCACTGTTGGCACTGGTCAAGGGCAAGGCCCTTCAAGCGCTGCTGCTGCTGCCTCCTCAGCATCAACATCTGCTGGACCTGTGCAGAGGCCTGCTTTGAATCTGGCTATGGTAAATCTTTATTCTGTTTGTGATTTTTACCCAATGACTCTTAACTACTGACTTCTATGTTTTACAGAATAAATAACATGATCATGCATCCTGTAAGATTACATTCATTTTCTTTCAGTTTACAAAACCACGGTTTGGCGGGTCGCATGGCGCTGCTTTGAAGCCAAATTTAACTGTGGCTAGGAAGCCTGCAAAGGTACAGTATGGTGACAGTCTAGGCATACATTTGATTTATAGTATTGCTTGTGACATAATTTCTCCTTGGTTAAATGCTTTATCATGTCTTATTATGACACAATGATTTATTATGCCTAGTAGTGATACACGATTTAGTTTATAACCTTGTATTTCCTCCTGTTTCTCTCTCAGCCCCTTATTAGCACATCGACCAGTACCACCACAAACTTTGGCACTGCAACACCAACATCAGGGAGGACATCATCCCCTGCCCAGAGTCCCAGAAAATATATTAGGACCAGCTCCCCTTTCTCTCTTCCCCCCACTCCTGTGTCATCAGCCTCAATAATCCCCCCAGCCACTGCCGCTGTAAGAATCCTATTGATAATTTTTTGTTGTTGTTGCCAAACATCAAACCCTAACCTAAGCAGTTCAGTGATTTATGATGTGTTAATGTTTTATTTGTGTGTGTCTTTCTGTACATAATTTGTTTATTATTAGGTTGTAACAGCTGCTCCCTCCAGTGCCTCCTCAGACCCTTCTGTCTGTGCCTCCTCTACCACTCCTGGTCCTGATCCTCTCAGCAATATGTCAGCGGAGGATGTGTTGGCTGCCCCTGGCCCTGACCTACCCTGGCTGCCAGTGAAGATGAGGAAGACCATCCCCCTCCAGGACCAGAGATGGATCTCTGCAGCTCTGTGGAGAAACCAGCGGCTACGGACCGACCTGAAGCTGTGGTACGAGCCACCCGGGCCAGCGCTCATCTACCATCAGGCCCCCACTCCAGAGCGCTTTTTTAATCATCGCCTGCTTGTGTGGATGCCGTACCACTTGTGGAAGGTCAGGCTAACCTGTCCTGTGTGTGGGAAGCAGCTGGTGGGATACGGTGCCCACAAGAGAGCCCGTCAGGTCCTTGACGTGGACAGGTACTACCTGATGGTCACAGAGACCCTCAGGTGCAACAGCATTGGTTGCAAAACCAACTACCTGTCCAGCAGCAAGACCATCCTGGACCAGCTTGACCTGGCTCACCGGCTCGAATTCAGGCTCATCCTGACTCAGAAGTGAGTATAAAGACACCACTGTAACAAGCATGTACAAAAAAATGTTAATGAGAATACATATTATTGTGTTACATTGTTTATTTTAAAATTGTCTGTAATTGAAACAGACTGCTATAAGAGGTTTGACTGTCTTTTTGTGTTTGTCTAAATGTCTCTGTCTCTTCCCTTTCTTTTAATACAGATATGCTTGTGACATTCGGGTCATCCGCTTCCTGCGGGAGAGGACCCTGGGCAACAGCCCGTCTCGCTTGGTGAAGCAGCTGAGGGAGAACCACAGCGAGGAGTGGCTGCAGCGCCTCTGCCAGTACCTCGGGGCATGCTCTGACTTTGTGGGCCGGCCCAGCCTGTTCCCTGTGGTTTTTCAGGACCTGCCTGAGCCTGTGGCCATTCCCACCTATAAGTGGATGCTGCCGGTCTACGGGCAGGACATCTTAAGCAGGCTGGAGCACATCAAAGCCAGCATTACATCTACCTTTGGCTCCATCCTGAAGATGGACTCCACAAAGAAGGTACAATTCCTCATCACTGCTCTTATTCTCATGTCACAATTCTACAAAAACGTGTATCAAAGCATCACTCAAACTGACAAAATGACTAAAAAGGGATATTCTTCATCCCTAAGTCGCAATGTTAAAATGATTTTACCTGTAAAAGGCTGTTAAACTGTACTGAAAAAGAATGGTATACTTACAAAATGTAAATACATAAGTCAATACCAGACAAAATGATATGCTAGTTAGACCTAAGTCACTGAATGTTTCCTCTGTATACTTTCAGATCACCAGGAAGTTATCGGGCATTGCCAAGGGGACCAAGGATGCCCATCCCCTTTACCCCATCTTCATGGCTCGTCTGTCCTGCTGCATATTTGAGTGGGATGCAGGTGACGTTGCCTTGCTGCGCCGGGTCAAGAGGGAGCAGCTGAAACGGGAGGGGGTTCCTGGCATCACTGATAGCCTTGTGAACCAGAACATTAGAAAGAGTGAGTTGGTGCTCTACTGCAGAAGGAGGGCAAGAGGAGAGAAGGAGACCATCTCAATGATTGACCTCCTTTTGCAAGAGCTTATGGGGGAGAAGGGCAGTGACTTCCTTGGTGTGCCACTCCTGGACAGGGATAGGATGGCGAACATCTGGGAACAGCAGAGGAAGCATGTAAAATGCATCCAGGATGAGCCAGGTGTTCCTCTCTACACAGAGACAGGATCATCCACCAAGGAGGGCATCGTCCTCACCACCTACAGGTGTGCCAGGGGCTCAACATCACTGGAGTCCTTCCACTGCCACCTGGCCAGGTTCATTCCAGGTCAGTTTCAAATAAGTATAACCTAGCTCTTTGACAAAGTATTTAGCATAGAACATGTGTCACCTGACATTGTACAAATAGCTCATTGTATGAATTTAAAATATATGTTGTTTTTATTTTAAGGAACCAGTGCCAACAGTTTGAATTTTCAGCTGTACCTCCTGGAAGGCCTGAACAGGTGGAACCAGGACCGTGGTGCTGCGGCACTGGCTGTCAAACCTCCCTCACTCCTCACCTACTCAGGGGACCTTGTGCACTGTGTCAACACCTTCAGTGTCAAGGTGCTTGGAAGGAAACTTGCCCCCTCCTTCCAACCCCCTGCAGTGTATACTGGTGTGTGTCACTTTCCCATCATAATTAATGGTTTTATTTCATACCTTTTAGATATCATTATCATTACTGAGTGAGTTTTATAATAAAGTTTAACAGCTAACTCAGAGTACATATTTAAAAAGGCCATGCAACGGTTTTGTCTTTTGAAGAAGCTAACCTGCTTTTTTAAAAACTCAGAAGCTCTGTTGTGTTGTATGGTTCTGTTTAATTCAACCATGGTTAAGCCAAAAAACACATTTTCAGAAATGAGCAATGAGTATTCTCCTGCCCCCATCACCAGCATGCACTCTAGCCCCACAGATCCCACCACCACCATGCCCTCTGCCCCCCCAGCTCCCACTGTATCTGAGCAACTGTTGGTAAGTGTTTGTGTGATGTACTGCATCATTCTTTATCACATCTGTTTCTTAGTTTCACTGCCAATATGAATATTCAGAATAATTATATTTTAATTTTGTTATATTTTCCAGGCTGTTGATGAGCATAACATGCCAGGGATGGACAGGGTGGACAGCCTGGCAGAGTACCTGGTTGGGCTGAGAAATGAGACGTCTCTCACTCTCAGCAACCAGCAGACCAGCACCATTTTGTCACTGTGGCAAAATCTTCTGCCATTTGACCAGCAGCGGGTGGTCTATGCAGCCAGGTACCAGGAGAGGCTGAAGACGGGGTACTTCAGGTCACCAAAAAATAAATTGGAATTCACCCCCGGTGCGGAGAGCATGAGGCGCTGCGTCCTGGGGTCAAGTGGATCACCTGCACAGTGGCCCGACTGTTGTCGGCTTGTGGAGGCCATCTTTGTCAGGCTCTGTCAGCTGCACAAGAGCCCAAAGAAAAAGGGAAAGGGCAGCCTGACAAGATGGTCTCTCATGCTGAAGGACTATCGGAAGGTTAGGCAGCTGGTGAGGGACAATGGAGCTCTAATGAAGGCCACCACTCTCCAGCTGTATGAGGTCAACCAGACCACCCTCACACAGTGGCACAATCATAGAGTGAAGAGGCAGGATTTGGCAGTCCTTCTGCAGGGGGTCAACCTGCCTGCCCCTCTTCCTGTAGCCCCTGTGCCTCTGCCACCAGCTCTAGGGCGCCCCACCTTTGTCCCTCAGCAGTGTGGACCTCAGCATGTCTACAGTCTGCCCAAATCCACTGCAGGACAGGCACTTTTAAAAAGAAAGCATGCTGCGCCACACACTGCTGCTCCAGCCACTGTCCGGCCAAAGGTGCCCATTCAGAGGCAGTTATTTCCCCTGCCTGCACCTCTGCCTACAGCTGCTCCTGCCCTTGTAAACCCTACCCCTGCCCAAAGCCCCTTGTTGTTAATGTTGGCTGTCCCCTCTCCCAGGCCTATCGCCCCTGATGGACCTCTTCCCCCTCCACCCCTTCCCAGAGGCCCTACAATCGTCAGGTGGAACATAATAAGTGCCGCAAATGCCATCAGCCCCGGAACAAAGACAGTGGCCACAGGCAATTTCATGGATACATTTATTGCCCCACTTTCGCAGGGATGCCACTGGAGCAGTGGCTGGAAGAAATGAGGAGGAAAAGGGCCGAGAATAAATGATGATTCATTGTTCTCCCCTTCTGTCTGCCCCGTCCTGTCTGTCTCTTCACATTTTAGTTTTTTAAAATGCTTACATGGCATTCAAATAAGGAGTGTGTACCGTCCCGTCCATGTAAACACGCTGTAGATACTGCTTGGAAAATCAACCACAGCTGGACTCGAGTGTCCCACTCATTGTAGACAGTCATGACTCACAGAGTCTGCTGCAGGTGTAAAATCTCAAGTTCAGAGATTCAGATTCAATCTACAGCATTAGTCTGTTTGAGGCTAGAGGCTAAAACGCCAAATATATCATTATTTTGTTTAAAGGAAATGTCCTAAAATGTGAAATGTGCCTTTTATTTAAATGTTTTTAGATTTTTTAATTGAAATATTCAATAAATGTGTGTGCTTCTACTCCAATTCTTACATTTGACTTATTTCTTAGCAATTTGACAAAGTAATATAAAAATTATATTACAATAATATTTGCTATTTTTTAGTAAGTAAAGTCTTATATCTAAAACAATTAGATGACTTATGTCAATACCACTTAACTTCTGAGAAGAAATGAAAAACAAACACAATATAACTTTCCTAAACATTTTGAATGCTAAACAGAATCAAGTATTGTTTTCTTATTTAAAATTACTTTTTCATCTGAACAATCCAAAACACTTTGTGAAGTTTGTTTCGGTCCAGACAGGGTTCGAACCCCCGTCCTTCGGATCCAATCTTCCCCTATTATCCCCCATATGAAAACTAGAAATATTCATCATTTTGAGTAATTTCTAAAATTTTATGAAAACTAATGACTTGGAGTAACTTTTGACTTGCAGAAGGGCCATTAAGAGTTCTTCTTTCTTTCTCTTTTTTCTCTTTTTTCCTCTTTTTCCTCTCCTTTTCCTCCTTTTCCTCCTTCCCCCTTCTCCCCCTTCTTTCCTCTTTCTTCCCCCCCCCATACAGACTACTGTTCCCCAGCTTTAGCGGAGTCGGTAGAGCATGAGACTCTTAATCTCAGGGTCATGGGTTCGAGCCCCACATTGGGTGCTATCTTCATCGTTCAGAACATAGATGAGGAATGTGTGACAGGCCTTTCACCTGAGCTGTTTCACACATCTTATACATGTCCATACATCGTTTACTCATGATGTATAATAGTATGCATAATAAAAATTGACGTCATTTTCTTAAAAATGTAGCCCGATTAGCTCAGTCGGTAGAGCATGAGACTCTTAATCTCAGGGTCCTGGGTTCGAGCCCCACATTGGTTGCTATCTTCTTCATTCAGAACATAGATGAGGAATGTGTGACAGGCCTTTCACATGAGCTGTTTCACACATCTTTTACATGTCCATACATCATTTACTCATAATGTATAATAGTATGCATAACAAAAATTGACGTCATTTTCTTAAAAATGTAGCCCGGTTAGCTCAGTCGGTAGAGCATGAGACTCTTAATCTCAGGGTCGTGGGTTCGAGCCCCACATTGGGTGCTATCTTCATCGTTCAGAACATAGATGAGGAATGTGTGACAGGCCTTTCACGTGAGCTGTTTCACACATCTTATACATGTCCATACATCATTTACTCATGATGTATAATAGTATGCATAACAAAAATTGACGTCATTTTCTTAAAAATGTAGCCCGGATAGCTCAGTCGGTAGAGCATGAGACTCTTAATCTCAGTGAGCTGTTTCACACATCTTATACATGAGCTGTTTCACACATCTTATACATGTCCATACGTATGTATGTATGTACATATATATGCATAACAAAAATTGACATAATTTTCTTAAAGATATCACCAGGTTAGCTCATTTGGTAGAGCATGACACTCTTAATCTCAGGGTCGTGGGTTCGAGCCCCACATTGGTGCTACTTCCTTTAGAACATGATGTGGAACGTGGGAAAGGCCTTTCACGTGAGCTGTTTCACACATCTTATACATGTCCATACATCATTTACTCATGATGTATAATAGTATGCATAACAAAAGTTGACGTAATTTTCTTAAAAATGTAGCCCGGTTAACTCAGTCGGTAGAGCATGAGACTCTTAATCTCAGGGTCATGGGTTCGAGCCCCATTGGGTGCTATCTTCATCGTTCAGAACATAGATGAGGAATGTGTGACAGGCCTTTCACGTGAGCTGTTTCACACATCTTATACATGTCCATACATCATTTACTCATGATGTATGCATAACAAAAATTGACGTAATTTTCTAAAAAATATAGCCCGGTTAGCTCAGTCGGTAGAGCATGAGACTCTTAATCTCAGGGTTGTGGGTTCGAGCCCCACATTGGGTGCTATCTTCATCGTTCAGAACATAGATGAGGAATGTGTGACAGGCCTTTCACGTGAGCTGTTTCACACATCTTATACATGTCCATACAACGTTTACTCATGATGTATAATAGTATGCATAACAAAAATTGACGTCATTTTCTTAAAAATGTAGCCCGGTTAGCTCAGTCGGTAGAGCATGAGACTCTTATATCTCAGGGTCGTGGGTTCGAGCCCCACATTGGGTGCTTTCTTCATCGTTCAGAACATAGATGAGGAATGTGACAGGCCTTTCACATGAGCTGTTTCACACATCTTATACATGTCCATACATCATTTACTGATGATGTATAATAGTATGTATAATAAAAATTGACGTAATTTTCTAAAAAATATAACCACGTTAGCTCAGTCGGTAGAGCGTGAGACTCTTAATCTCAGGGTTGTGGGTTCGAGCCCCACATTGGGTGCTATCTTTATCCTGTGAAACATAGAACAGGCCTTTCACGTGAGCTGTTTCACACATCTTATACATGTCCATACATCATTTACTCATGATGTATGCATAACAAAAATTGACGTAATTTTCTTAAAAATATCACCAGGTTAGCTCATTCGGTAGAGCATGACACTCTTAATCTCAGGGTCGTGGGTTCGAGCCCCACATTGGTGCTATCTTCATCGTTCAGAACATAGATGTGGAACATGTGACAGGCCTTTCACGTGAGCTGTTTCACACATCTTATACATGTCCATACATCATTTACTCATGATGTATGCATAACAAAAATTGACATAATTTTCTTAAAAACATTACCAGGTTAGCTCATTTGGTAGAGCATGACACTCTTAATCTCAGGGTCGTGGGTTCGAGCCCCACATTGGGTGCTATCTTCATTATTCAGAACATAGATGAGGGATGTGTGACAGGCCTTTCACGTGAGCTGTTTCACACATCTTATACATGTCCATACATCATTTACTCATGATGTATAATAGTATGCATAACAAAAATTTACGTAATTTTCTAAACAATATAACCCGGTTAGCTCAGTCGGTAGAGCATGAGACTCTTAATCTCAGTGAGCTGTTTCACACATCTTATACATGAGCTGTTTCACACATCTTATACATGTCCATACATCATTTACTCATGATGTATAATAGTATGCATAACAAAAGTTGACGTCATTTTCTTAAAAATGTAGCCCCACATTGGGTGCTATCTTCATCATTCAGAACATAGATGTGGAA